GCCTTGATCTGCACCTCTGGCCTCCATGCTTCTCTCACAGAAGCAGGAAACACTGAGAGTTTAAATAAAGAACACTTAAACACTGCACAAGATGGTGTTGGGAGTTTGCTCCCCAGAGAGAAGGGAACGAAGCAGACTGGTTGAAAAGAGCCTTGGGGACAGTTCCCTTCACTGAACCAGGAGCACCCAGAAAGCCAGACCACAGCCCACCTTTTTTTTTTTTTTTTTTTTTTTTGAGACAGAGTCTCTCTCTGCTGCTCAGGCTAGAGTGCTGTGGCGTCAGCCTAGGTCACAGCAACCTCAAACTTCTGGGCTCAAGCAATCCTCCTGCCTCAGCCTCCCGAGTAGCTGGGACTGCAGGCATGCACCACCATGCCCAGCTAATTTTTTCTATATATATTAGTTGGCCAATTAATTTCTTCTATTTATAGTAGAGACAGGGTCTCGCTTTTGCTCAGGCTGGTTTCAAACTCCTGACCTTGAGCGATCCTCCCGCCTCAGCCTCCCAGAGTGCTAGGATTATAGGCGTGAGCCACTGCACCAGGCCTGCAGCCCACCCTTTTGTCCCCACACCTCAGGGCTAGCACAGTGCTGGTGTCCATAAACGTTGTTGAACTGAACAAAACCTGTGCCCTGTGGTATCTCGGAGCCACAGCAGAGCACTTTCTGATATTCTGCCTGCTCCCTCCTTTCCAGACTTCCCTCTCTCCTGGCTACTGTCCTTTTGTGTTCTCTTGTTTTCTCCCTGCCTCTCTGGCTGTTTCTTCTTAGGACCAGTCTTTTATATTTTCATGTAGTTATGATCTTAGTGTTAAGTGTGAATATAACTCTAGATATGTATGTGAGTATGAAGTTATATATGCTGTTTTTTTCAGTCAACATATCATTCCTTAAGAATAAGAAAGGAATATAATCACCATACAGAGAGCATTACAAAAGTCTAACAGATACTAGGCACAGTTTTCTACTAATACCATATTTTATCTAGTCTAAGAAACACCCTTTTTTTTTAACATTTTAACATCTCTGAATTTGGGGTGCATCTTATAATTGATAGCATTTTACAACTAAAGAAAACTTTCTTTTTTAATGGTGCATTTATAATAGTGTATCTTACTACTTTTGCCCAAAAAAAGGCACATCTTTTATTTAGTGACATCCTACTTTCAATGAAATATGGGTAAGTTTTAAAACCTAAATAAAAAGAATAATTTTGTAATCGAAAATAAGTTCCTAGAATTGTCCTTAATATGGCAGAAAACAAGAGCCAGTAATTACAGAGGTATCAGAAAGTTGTTAAGGAATTAGCCCCCAGGACAGGCTCCCAACCCCAGTGGTTTTGAGGTAAGGATAGTCCGACATTACTGTAGGATCTAAGAAAAAGTTTGAACAAATGAAAAAGATGGCATGTTCCTGAATGAGAAGACTTAATCTTGCAAAGATGTCTATTTCTCCAGATGAAATAAATAAATTTAATATTCCAATCAGAATCTGAATTCATTTCTCATTATGCCTGGCACACAGTAAGCACTCAGTAAATATTTGCTGAGTGATTAGATGAATGATTTGCCAGAAATTATTTTAAAACATTTGTCATGAAGGACGATTATTTCTTTAACATTATAATTTATTACAAATCTACCATAATTAAAACAATATATAGACCAGCTTATTGAATTGGGAATATAAAAATTAAAACAGTGTGATGCTGGTACAAGAACAGACAAATGGCTCAATACAACAAAATAAGGTCAAGAAATAGACTAAAGTATATATAAAATGTATATGATGAAAGTAGCATTTCACATGTGTAGAGAAATGGTGAATTTTTTAAAAATAAGGTTGGGACAATTGGATAAACTTTTGGAAAAAGTAAATGTATGTACTATTTTTAGTCCTAAATGAATTAAAGGTGAAATATAAGGCCAGGCGCAGTGGCTCATGCCTGTAATCCTAGCACTCTGGGAGGCCAAGGTGGGTGGATCATTCGAGCTCAGGAGTTCGAGACCAGATTCTGAGCAAGAGCGAGCCCCTGTATCTACCAAAAATAGAAAGAAGTTAATTGGACAGCTAAAAATATATAGAAAAAAGTAGTCAGGCATGGTGGTGCATGCCTGTAGTCCCAGCTACTCGGGAGGCTGAGGCAGTAGGATCATTTGAGCCCATGAGTTTGAGATTGCTGTGAGCTAGGCTGATGCGCCATGGCACTCTAGCCCGGGCAACAGAGTGAGACTCTGTCTCAAAAAAATAAAATAAAATAAATAAAAGTAAAAGCTTGGAATTAGTAATAGGGAAATGTCAGCCACTAGCCAGGGGAGTTCAAAGGGGGAAAATCCAGTTTCACCAACATTGTTTGTAAACTTTTGTTTTTTAAGACAGAGTCTCACTCTGTTGCCCAGGTTAGGGTGCCATGGCATCATAGCTCACTGCAGCCTCCAACTTCTGGGCTCAAGTGATCCTCCTGCCACAGCTTCCCGAGTAACTGGGACTACAGGCATGGGATGCCAGCTAATTTTCTGTTTTTTAGTAGAGACTGGTCTCACTATTGGCTCAGGCTTGTCGAGAACTCTTGACCTCAAGCAATCCTCCTGCCTCAGCCTCTCAGAGTGCTGGAATTACAGGTGTGAGCCACCACATCCAGCCTGTAACATTTCATTTATTTTTTATTCATTCTTAATAAAATACTTGAAGGAGAAATACCAAAATGTTGGCAGGGGGCGGTGGCTCACGCCTGTAATCTAGCACTCTGGGAGGCCGAGGCGGCGGATTGCTCGAGGTCAGGAGTTCGAAACCAGCTGAGCAAGAGCAAGACCCGTCTCTACTATAAATAGAAAGAAATTAATTGGCCAACTAATATAGTATAGAAAAAAATTAGCTTGGGCATGGTGGCGCATGCCTGTAGTCCCCAGCTAGCGGGAGGCTGAGGCAGAGGATTGCTTGAGCCCAGGAGTTTGAGGTTCCTGTGAGCTAGGCTGACGCTAACGGCACTCACTCTAGCCTGGGCAACAAAGCGAGGCTCTGTCTCAAAAAAAAAGAAAGAAAGAAAGAAATACCAAAATGTTATCAGTGCATCTCTCTGAGACATAGGGTTGCAGATAATTTTTTATTTTCTTCTTTGTGTTTTTGTTTGCTCCTCAAATTTCCTACAATAACAAAACACAAGAAAAAATAATAAAGCTCATAAGATGTTAGATATAGATGCAAAATAAGTATTTAATAGTAAAAATATTCTGAATGAAATAAAATTGTACAACCTACATATAACCCAGCAATTCCACTCCTAGTCACCTATGCAGGAGAAACGGCATGTATGTCCACATAGACTCACATGGGAATGTTCACAGCAACTTTATTCACAATAGCAAAAAATGGAAATAACGCAAATGCTCATCAATGGTGAATAGACCAACAAAATGTGGCCTGTCCATATAAGGGAATCTTATTCAGCCATAAGAAGGAATGAGGCACTGACACTTGGACGAGCCTTAGAAACATTATGCTTAGTGCAAGAAACCACATACAAAAGGCCACATATAAGACAAAGCCACAGAGAGAGAAAGTATGTTAGTGTTATCTAGGGCTTGGGGCAGAAATGGAGATTGACAATGGGCATGAGGTTTCTTTTTAGAGTGATGAAAATATTCTAAAATTAGATTGTGGTGATGTACAACCCTATAACTATCCTATAATTCATTGAATTGTACATTTAAATGAATGAATTTTATGATCTATAAATTATCTCAATAAAGCTCTTTTTTAAAGTAATTAAAAATAAAATTATTTCCATGATTTTTCACAATGTGAATATACTAATGCAACCAAGACCCAATAGTAACAAAACTCTATTTATATCTATAAATTCATCATATTGCCAAGTATATCATATTTTCTTTCTTTTTTTTTTTTTCTTTTTCTGGAAATTAAAATGTGATTCTAAAATATAGGTGGGGGTGTATGTGACCTAAAACTCATTAGCAGAATCCAAGCTATTGGTCTTGTATGGCCCCAGCCATTCTCTCTTCTCAAAGGTAATGCTGCCATCTTTCTCTATACTCCTGTGGATAGTTTTGAACTTTTAAGCAAATGGAATTATATTGTACACACTCATATATCTAGCTGTTTTTTCCCTCAATATTATGCCTATGAGCCATCCCTGTTGTGTGTGACAATAGTAAACATTAAGATGTTTATTAACATCCAGTCTTTATGATGTTAATAGAAATTCAGTCTTCATTGAAAAAAATTATATAGCTAAAACTCGATGGGTTTCTGTAATAAAAAGGGCCTTCATTTCTACATGGACTTTCTCACTCTAAGAGGATCTGAACCATAAGAACTTATGTTTAGAGCTTGGGGCAGGCCAGGAACAGTTACTAGTAACTGAATTAACCTGGTCTTAATCTAGTGCTGGTTCAAGTTCACCAGGGAGATACAAGCATATTGCTTCAAGTTCTCATAGTCAAATATTGGGGTGAGTATATGACTCCCACCACCCTTGTCCTGAATGAGGCTCAGAGGATGGCCCACCTTGCAGGATGGCGTCCTTCTGTGGCATAGGCAGGCAGCACGCAGGCTCCGCAATCAAGCAGACCTGCATTCAAATCCTGCCTCCCCCACACAGTACTTATGAGACTTTGGACAAACTACTTCTCCTCTCCTAGCCTCAATTTTCTCATCTGTAAAATGAGTGTAATAATAACATCTACTTTGTAAAGTTCTACAGATTAAATGAAATAGTGGTTTTAAAGCTCAGCGCCTGGCACATAGTAAATTCTCCCCAGATGGCAGCTATTATTATTTGTAGTAGTAATGCTATTCTGGTTCTAAATGCTTCGGGACCCTAGGTATTAATATCTAGCATCATGGCAACATTCCTACTGGCTATTTATAAAGAACTAACAGATAGGCTACTATTTTTGTTGCTGGTTTTTCATATCTTTAATTACAGTGATCTAAGTGTTGTTTCTAACAAAAATGAGTTGCTGTTGTTTTTGTTGCAGACAGTTGCATCTATAAAAAGGTTTGCCCATTTAATGGTGGCTCTTTTTTGGTTCAACCCTCTGCGTCAGATTTCCAGTTCTGTTGGAACCAGGCTCCTTATGCGATTGGTAAGAAAACTTTTATCATAAGACTTTCCCCCTCCGTAGCTACACCTGAAGTGTTCAATCCTGTGTAGGCAACTCCCAGGCTTACTGCGACATTGCCATAAATTATGTGCATGTGGTTAGTACTCAAAGTGTTCTTTCTCTTTATAATTTTTTTATCCTCTTTTGGGACATCATCTTCCTGTTCCTCCTCATCTTCTCAGTGCGAGCATGTGTTCATTGAGGCCATTAAATATCATTTTTCAGTACTTGGTATCTTTCAGCACCTGGCTTATTTCTTCTTTTCTAAAACTCAAGAGTAGGGCTCCATCTTCAAAACGCTGGACTGACTGTGAGAGAACACAGTGCTTTCAGCACCATTGTATGATTTGGAACTCAGAAGCCCAGGAATCACAGAACTCATACTTGCCTGCCACTAAAATCAGAATGTGAGTGGTGGTGCTTAGTGTTTGTGGATCAACATCCACAACTAGGCTTGCCTTTTGAGAGCCAGATCAAGCCAAGAATGTTCCAGTTCATACTGTTTGCCTCACAGTAAATATTTGTAAACAGTTGCACACTGTAGGTTTTGAGAAGAGGCAGAGAGCCAACTCAGATCCTGAGGACTGGTTAGGCTTGATGACAGATTAGATATGGTAAAAGGAGAGGGAAGAGTGAAAATGACCTCCAGGTATGAGCCACAACACTGGAGGTGACCTCAGGAAATCAAGGCTAGAAGCACAGGAAACCCAAGCAGGCGCTGGGAGTGCAGAGAGAGGCCACTGTGAGGGAAGAATGTGAACCAGCCAGTAGAAAAAATGGAATGTCCCAGGCAGTCAGGCAAGCGCTTGTGCCTAGAAGTCTGGTGTCCTAAAAACCATTTCAGAGGAGGGGCTGGCTTTAATAAATGATAACCCATTGACGCAAGAATGCTGTAGGGCCAGTGAGGAACAAGGTGCAGCTCTGCCAGACACACACGGGACAGGAGGACGAACAGAGCTGAGGACACATGGCTGGGCCTTAAGATTGACTAGAGGGAAGGTTTCAGGCACAGTGCCTGGTCTCCAGGGAGGGTGTGTCAGGCTGGTCTGGACAATAGGGGGCTTCCCAGGACTTCAGCAGGTGAACCGCTGGAGACTGGGTGGCGGGGCTTCAGTAGGGAAGATGGAGCACAGCCACGGGCAGCAGGTTGGCACCTGGGGGAGGCTGTCTTAGAGTGACAGCTACCTTAAGGTCAGGGAATGTTACACGTGTGAAGGAAGGAGAGAAGCATCCAGAGAATGGGAGAGGAAGTTTCTGAAATGAGACTGTGAAACAGTCCGTCATCATGCCAGTGGCTGGGTGACACCCCTTACCTTGCAGTCTGTGCTTTCCCCACCTCTTGGCCTTCACTACCGACTCCATGGAGATCCGCCTGTGGTGAACGGGAACCTGGGTCCACACCGCAGTGTGCCCAGCTGCAGCTCGTGGCCTCCAGGGTGAGTCGACTGGGACTTCATTGCTGTGAAGGCACAAGGAGCCCTGGCCCTGTGAGAGTTCAGCTGAGCACGGAGCTGCCTGTCAACCGCAGGCTGATGATGATGTGTGTCAAAATGCCAGAGTGAGATGAAAAGCTGAAACCAGACTGATTGGTTGGCTTCAGAACACTCCTGTTTTGTTTAAGAAGAGTCATTCAGTGCTGGTGACAGCTAGGGACCTCAGCTGAAAGGGAAACCCCCATAGGAGACTGGGTCAGTTATTCATGTCACTGTTGCACTGAAGGGCAGTCTGAGCCTAGAAAAGTGGAAAGTGCTTGCAAAGCCCTTTCTTTCTTTGCCACTCTGTCCCCAATTTGAGTTCACATCCTGTGAAACATAGCTCAGTGATAATCCATGTCTACTAACCCAGAGTTGAAGCAAACCGAGGGATGCAGGAACAACCATGACTCCCAAGGTGTCCTCTGTGGCTGGCACCTAATCCAGGAGGTCTTGTTCTAGGTTCCTCCCCTGAGTAAGCCCCACAAAGTCTTCCCTGACCCTGTCAGACTGGGCTGGTCCCCCACTGTAGCCCCTGTGGCACTTCCTTGATCCTGAGATTCATCACATGGGGTGGGGGGGGGACTGTTCATTTGTCCACCTTCCCTGCTGCCCTGATAATTCTGTGAGAGCAGGGCCCTGCTGTGTTATTTGCCAGAACAGCACCAATGATGGGCTGGAAAGTGTTTGACCACCAATGCCCCCAAAACGTGTGTGTATGTGTGTGTGTGTGTGTATTTTATATGTACATTAGCTGACTGTAAATTTTACTGATATAAAAATAGCTTCCAATTTACAAATAATAAAATATACAGTCTTCTTTATTGTAAAATCCATTAGCCAATTGGTTCTCACAAAATAGTTAATTTTTGCTGAACTCTTGTATCTGTGGCCAACCTACATTTGCAATTCAACCATGATTTTACAGTGGGAGTTATATCTCAATCCACTTGTTCTTTTCCCAGTAAGTTTATTGTCATTAAATCTGATATGTGATCTATTAAACTATTTTTCACTCTCATACAATTCATAGTCATTAAACTAAAACTTCTTTCAGCTTCTACACTAAACACATTCTAAGTTTCATCTTTATTATCAGTATTTTCTTTATCATGTTAAGTCTAGACAACCAACAAAACAACAAATCAAGCTCTAATTGGTAGCATTTGCCAATTTCTGTGCTATCAGTAGTCCTACCATGATTGATTTCAAGCTTGCCGAGTGACACTACTGCAGGTAGAGGTGGGGAGACGTGTGCGAAAACCACCGTGGTGCAGTGGTGATAGTGTCATCAAATAATTAGGAATGGTTGAATTTTGATATTTGGGGCTTTTATTTTTAACATTTATTCAGGTTTGTATAATTTAAATTTTAATAATGTGTTTAACAGCCAGCTTGCAAAATTCTTGAAAATTCACTCACATAAGTCACATCCAGCTACCACCACTGTTCTCACCAAAGCCAGCACATTTTGGGTGTGCATGAATATTTGCTGAATTGGTGAGTGCATGATTCATCTCCCCATCTCTGAACGGGCCTGACTGAACCCCTGAAATCCTTTCCAGTTCTAACACTCCAGGTGCCTGAGATTGCGGGAAGGGAAGTGCATATTGTGTTTGTGTTTTCAGGAGATGTGTGGAACGTTGACTGTCTTCTGTTGTCAGTGTTAGATAAGGAAGAGTAGTGGGGACTGAGTACTCAGGAAAAGCCTACCTATTAATATCTTTCCTTGGGAAGCCACCACCCCACCTCCCAGCCCCCAGCATCTGGTATTGCACTGCATGTTCCAGGGATGTCATAGCTGAGCCTGGGGACCAGTTGAAGGCTTTGCAGCAATGGCAGGAGGGCCCGTGGATGCAGGGCCTAGAATGCCACGCAGCTTGGTGACGCTTTCTTTTTCTGTCTAGTCGGATATATACTTCACGGCAGCCGCGGCCGTGCATGAGAACTCATCTGGAGGCAGCTCCAAAGGGACCAGTGCCCGTAATTCTCCTCAGACACCTCCGGGCCGAGATACTCCAGTATTTCCTTCTTCCCTGGGGGAAGGTGAAGTCCAATTTTTACTGCTTTATTTCAATCCACTCTGATTTCTCTAGTCATTGTCAAACATCTACATATGATTACTGCCTAAAGAAGTTACCATTTAAAACCATTTTAAAAACTTGCAATCTGGGCCGGGCACGGTGGCTCACGCCTGTAATCCTAGCTCTCTGGGAGGCCGAGGCGGGTGGATCGTTTGAGCTCAGGAGTTCGAAACCAGCCTGAGCAAGAGCGAGACCCTACTATAAATAGAAAGAAATTTAATTGGCCAACTAATATATATAGAAAAAAATTAGCCGGGCATGGTGGTGTATGCCTGTAGTCCCAGCTACTCGGGAGACTGAGGCAGCAGGATTGCTTGAGCCCAGGAGTTTGAGGTTGCTGTGAGCTAGGCTGATGCCACGGCACTCACTCTAGCCTGGGCAACAAGGTGAGACTCTGTCTCAAAAAAAAAACAAAAAAAACTTGCAATCTGAATGCATTGGTTTCATTCATAAAGAACCTTGTGATAACAAAGAGAAAACAACATCCCATTAAAAAAATAAAAATTGTTTCAGTGGGGAGAAGGGAGTTAAAAGCTATAGAATTTCCAACTTGCAACAGCAGTTATTTTTCCTTCAGTGCTGTTAACAATAGTGGGTTTTTATAGCTAAAGGTATATACAGTCATAAAGCCTAGACATTCCTCAGCACGCCCAGCCTTTCACGCTATCCAGCTTTGCCTGTGAACCCGGGCAGTCTTTGCTGTTTGCTGTGGTTACCGCATTGCTCCGAACACATCACTTTTCATAATTTCTTACCACATCAGTTGTCTTCATCGCTCACTGTTAAAACACAAAGTTCCACAAGCAGAGAAGCTTTTTGCTTTTTTTGTCTAATCTTTTTTTCTCCCCCTGTGCAGGTGTAATCAGTAGTGAGTGTATTTTATCTAGTTTACACGTGAAAATGATGCTTTTAGGAAATGCAAAGCCATCAGGCCCCTCATGTTAGTGCTCCCTGCAGGCCCCCCCATGGGGCATGAAAGTCTTCCTTCGTGCCAACATGTTGAGGAACAAGAAATTATTCTCTTGTAAAGAAAAAACTTTCTTAAAATGCTGATGTTGCTTTCTAAATCATATTTCAGGTGAAATTCAGTCCAAAAATTTGTACAAGATTCCACTTAGAAATCTCGTTGGCAGAAGCATCGAGCGACCCTTGAAGTCGCCGTTAGTCTCCAAGGTCATCACCCCACCCACAGCCATTGGAGTGGGCCTCGCTGCCATTCCTGTCACACATTCCTTGTCCCTGTCTCGCATGGAGATCAAAGAGATAGCAAGCAGGACACGCAGGGAACTGCTGGGTAAGGCTCTCCGTCTTGTGCTGCTGCCACTGTTGGTGAACTTACCAGCTGGTTTTATCTTTGGATAGCAATTGTCCTCAAAACAATGAGTTTAAAAAGAAACTTTCCCTTTAAGAAGGTATTTATAAATAAATTATAGCACATCCACACCAAGGAATACCACATAGTGTATTACCCACCAACAATGATGTTGTCAGTCTGTATTTATTGGCATGGAAATCTGCCCAAACCATGTTAAGGAGGAAAACAGGCAGTTTATAACACTATGTCCTTTAGAAGATACCAAGGGACCAAAAAAGGCACTATGTCTACTCTGATACAATAAAAATTTTCTAAAATAAAAGTACCTATATAGGTCTGATTTCCTATAAAAATTCTAGAGGAATTTACATCCTGCAGGTCTCAGATAACATTTTCTATTGGTATATCAGATATATCCCAAAGTGGAAATTGACCGTGTTTTCACAGGTGTGTGTCCAGTTAACTTACCACTTCTCCCAGCCCCTAACGGTGGGGCAGGGCTGTGGAGACAGACGCAAGGTATTAAGATTTGTGCAGCCCTTCTCTCTCAGTCAGTGTACGGGAGGAGGCCAGGCCAGAGAAACATAAAGCATCTGTTACTTGTGAAAAGGCTAGACTGTTATAAAACTTTTCATTCAGATTTATGGAAACAAAATGAAAAAAAAATGTCAAACCAGTAAAAACTGGTTTGAAAAGTCAGATTGGGATTTGCAGACACAAAGCTGTGAGGACAGCTGGCCTGAGCACTCCCTACCCTGCAGGAATGTTCCCTGACAACTAGAGAGGGGACCAGGCAGCCTGACCTGGCAGACTTTGCCCTGACAACGTTGGTTGATTTTAGAAGGTGGTGCCTTCCACTGTTTTTTTAAACATGTATTTTGAAATTTTTAACCCACCCTTCCATATCAAATCTTGATCTACCAACCACTGTTTTACAAACCACTGTGCTTTTGAGAAACTGAACGTCTGAGTTGCAGAATTACAGAGTTCCCAGTGATAGCATTGTAGAAGATCTGATCTCCTCATTAGGCTCTTTTGAGTCTTTTTGTTTTATTTATTTATTATTTTTGCAATGCATGTATACTTTATAATCAGAAAAAAATACCTTCTACCAATAAGAAAACCAATTATTTGAAAATATATATTCCATTATCTTTCTTCCTGACTCTAGCCCAATAATGTACTAAGTCCCTAGCAGGGGTGTGGGGAAGGGCATTTTCTGTCTCCATGGCAGCCCTGTCACTGTGATCCTGACTTAAAATTCTTCCCTGCAATCCAGGCCTCTTGGATGAAGGTGGATCCAGGTCAGAAGGAGCGCCAAAAGCCAAACCAAAAACACGGAAGCGGTTAGAAGAAAGCGAAGGAGGCCCCAAGCCAGGGGCAGTGAGGTCAACCAGTAGTGACAGGTAAAGAGGAGGAGAGGCCCCTGCTCAGGCTGCTGGCCTGTGAGTCATAGCACTGTCTGGGCGGCTCTTTCTGCAGACTGATGATGCCATGCATGGCCCCTTTCACCAGTCACACCAGAGGGCCAGTAGCCAGCTGTTCTCTGAGAGTCCCTGGGGAGCACAGCCAACCAGGGAGGGACATAGACAAATGGGCAACCTCACTAGTAATCCAAAAAATGCTCATTAAAATATATTAAGAGACTTTTTTCTTCACAGGTCAACAGAAGTATTTAAAAACAGAAATGCTTAGTAAGAGTGCAGGGAAACAGGGACTCTCCAGTACTGGTGGCACATACACAGTACAGCCTTTCTGGATGGCAGGTTGGCTTCACTTGTCAATGCATAGTTGTTGAATCACACTGATTTGTCCCATGAGATCTCTGTCCTCAGGCAACATCGTGCATGCTCCTGTGTGGTAGGTAGTGGGGCATTCACGTCCAAGTTTCATTCATTCACTCAACACATTCTTGGAGCACATTCTAATGTAGAGAAACACAATAAACCTGTAAACAAGTAAGCAAATTAAATCATTTTAAATAGTGACAAGTCCTATAAAGAAATTTGAGAGAAATAAGTGATGGGGTGGCAGGTAGAAGGTCTGCTTTGAGAGAGGGATCAAGGGAGGCTTTCTGAGGAAGGACATGGAATTGAGCTGGGCTTGGAAAGAAAGATACGGAGCTGGAGGAATAGCCCCCTGACAGTGGGACCTCGGGGGAGGGCCCTGAAGTGGGCCCAGCGTGGCCAGCTAAGAGACAGAAGGAAGAGTGGATGGGCTTGAGCACAGAGAACGGAGCTGGAACAGTGTGAGGTCAAGAGTGGGCAGAGGCTTGGCCAGCTGGCTCTCTGCAGGCCCATGAGTATTTGTGTAATGCATGAACTCCCTAAGAAGCAGGAATTGATTTTGGTCAAACTAATCATGTAGCTGTGGAGGAGAGAGTTCCGAGGAGCTGGAGAAAATGGGGGGGAGTTGGGGTGGCCTGGGAGACTGGAGGGGTCAGCAGGTCAAGTCCCACACCTTGGCTGTGAGTAGGAGTTTCAGCTTCCTCTTCAGGACCTGGGCAGCCATGGGAGGGAGCATTTTAGGCAGAGTGACATTATCTGGATTTACACTATAGAAAGGTATTTAATAGGTAAATACTGCCTCACGAACACCTTCTATGTGTCACACACCCAGCCTTTAATCCTCACAGTCACCCCATGAGGTAGCCAGAGCATCAGCTGGAGATGAGGGTAGCAATTCCTGTACTGCCCACCTCTGCCCCATAATAGCAGGGGTCAGAGGAGCCACGCTTTTAGGAGGTCACATGAGCAGGAAATTGCGGGACAAAATGGGCCCAGTTCCGTAGTGCTCCCATGGATCCTCTTACAGTGACTCGTCTCTTCTAGGATCCCATCAGGCTCCTTGGAAAGTCCTTCTACTTCTGAAACCAATCCCGAGGGGCGTGACCACTCAACCAGCTCTGACCAGGACCCTGCAGCAGACAGAGAGGGCAGCCCAGTCCCGGGCAGCAGTCCCTTTCAGCTCCCAGCATCCTCAGATGAAGACATTATTGACTTGAAGTAACGGAGTCCGAATCTCGTTTGCCATTGTTCATTTTCTTATAAAGATTTATACTCTTTAAACAGTTCCCACATCACTTCTCAACAAAATATGGCTTTTAGCCTGTCAGTGATCTATTGGACCAAACCTTCTGCACCCTTGGCCAGTTTGGGTCACTCTCCAATGTCCGGTGCCATGTTTCTTGACCTTTGTTTCTTTCTGTTCAGGAACCATCAGTCCCCTTGTAATAAAGGTGGTAGATTTCATTGAGGTTTTAGATTGAAACTTTGAATAAATCAAAAATGTTCATTCTTAATTTACTGCAACCTTCTCTTATATTTTATATACTTAGATGGAAAATTATTTTTTCATTACAGTTTTGATTTGTGTCACATAATGTGTTTCTCTTATAAAGAAAGCCATTGCTTTTTAACTTTATTATAAATAAGTTTTCTTTCTGCACCTTTGGCCCCTGTTGCTGTTTCAGTTCACTGTGATTGGAACCAGCTGTGTTCCTGCCTGTAGATGCTTAAGAAAAACTGGTTAGATCTTAGAAGCTCCTCCCCTTCCTCCTGTGTCTCTTGAAAAATAATAAGGTATAGGAGCTGTCAAAAGTCGTAAGATTATTTTGTCTGGTTTTATTGTTACTCTGCAATCCTACAATCAGGGAACAGTTACTTCTGGTGGTCAAAAGTATTGTCAAACTCCTTCTCTTGTGTGGGTCTCCCTTGCTCTTTCACATGAACCAAGTGTATCATTTATCTGCCTTCCCTGGCTCCCACTCCAAAGTGAGCAGAAAGAAATGTGGATTGGGCCAAGTGCAAATGTAATAGTGAAATGTCAGCCACTAGTCAGGGGACATAAAAGGGGGAAAATCCAGTTTCACCAACATTGTTTGTAAACTTTTTTTTTTTTTTTTGAGACAGTCTCGCTGTTGCCCAGGCTAGAGTGTAGTGGCATCATCATCATAGCTCATTGCAACCTCCAATTCCTAGGTGCAAGTGATCCTCTTGCCTCAGCCTCCAGAGTAGCTGGGACTACAGGCGAGTGCCACCACACCTGGCTAGTTTCTCTATTTTTTGTAGAGACGGGGTCTCACTTTTGCTCAAGCTGGTCTTTAACTCCTGGCCTCAAGGGATCTTCCCACCTCAGCCTCCCAGCATGCTAGGATTATAAGCATAAGCCACCTCCCCGGCTGTTTGTAAAAATTTTAATCTGTGTGAAGAAGGTAATTTACCTATGGCTTTATTCCAGCTGATTCCATTTTATTGTATCTCTTCTTGCCTACATTACCTATCAAAAGAAACTTTCATTATTTACTCCCTGTTAAAGTGCCTCTGAAGGATTCTTCTGCAGGTCTTTTTAAGTGCAAAAACTATTTGACAGGACTTTGATCTGAAAGATTTTACAGAAGTTTGAATCCTTGCAGAAGTGTGGCCCTTGCACACTGTGGGGAGAACTCCTCTCTCGTCTTTTGCATAAACAGTGGGGCATGCTGAGCCCAAGCTGAAGGCTGCCTGCCTCCTCTTCAACAGAAGGCAAGAGGCAAGGGTAGCAAAGACAGTGCTTTTTAGGTATAGCCAGGTAGAGGTGTTTGTCACTAACTGTGTCTGCTCATAGTCTTTGCAGCACTTAGCATTCCTATTCTTCCCTTTGTGTTTTGCTATACCCCTTTCATATATAGGGGGGAAAACGCAACCACATACTCTATCTCAACCTCACCAACAGTTTTGTGAACTGTGTTCTATTATTCCTGCTTTTCAGTTAAGGAAACAGGCTCAGAAGAGGGCAGGGATTTGAACCTGTGAGTTCTTTGACCCCAGAGCCCTTGCTTTCTGCCCTGTCCACCTCGGAGAGCCAGGCTGAGTGCCTTGTGTCAGCTGGAGCTGGCTGATGTTTTTCATGTTAAACTAATTTGTTAAGCTTTTTGAGCTTTTAACTGTGTTTTTCTGTCATTTTTTCCCCTTAAGTTTCTTGCTTTGCAGCCTGGAATAAAAAAACCAAGGGCTATTTAGAGCATTTTTCCAAATCAGCAGTATTAGAGCCCCATCTGAGTGCATGTGGAGAGGGAAAGAGGTGGACCCTACTAATCAGGCGGATGGTGCTTTGCCGATAAAAAAGGGGTGGGAGGCTCTTCTGGCAAGACTATTTGACTACAAAAGCCTTGAAGGGAATTCTGCACACTCAGGGAGAGGGTGACCACCAGCCACAGGGCAGGAACAGGTTTGCTGGGGTCCATGGCTCGCTACATAAGCTTCTCCACCTACCCCACTGTCTGAGTTACAAAGTCAACTAACTGCAGCAATTTGCCCGTGGAGTTTGAGGCATTCATTCACCCTGCAAACACCACGTGCCTGCAGTAAAGAGGAGCTCATGTCCACTGAGGAAAGAGAGAAGTCAACAGGTGCTGACAAAGCAGTGATAAGTGCTAAGAACCTGTAAGTCGAGCACAAGATGCTGTGGGAGCACAGAAGGGCAGTTGCCTAAGTCTCTAAAGATAGTCTTGTGGTCCAGATTGAAAAAAGTTGGTTGCTAAAACAATCAATCGGGTGACTGCACTATCAAACAACTATCATAGTCATACCAGCTAGCATTTGAGTGCTTCCCATTTACTTGGTCTTTTCTACACCACCCTGCTCACAGCTCTCCTAGAAGATAATTATCATTCCCACTTAGAGATAAGGAAACAGAGGCCCAGAAAGGGGTTACAAGCCAAGCCTCCTACTCCCATAGTCATGGTGTTTTCCAGAAGTATACCGGCACTCCACCGCAGAGGCGCATAGGTGGGCTGCAGCGCGCAGGGCCGCGCCTCCGCCCCCAGCCACCCAGCGAGAGCGCGGGGCCAGTCTGGGTGTCCGAGAGGAAAAGCAGCCAGGACAGTCGGCTTGGAGACTTTCATCCTGAGGCTCTCAAGCGACAGAGCTGGGCCGGGCAGAGAAGTCAGGCGCCTACCACATAGATCCCTGAGCAGGCAATGCAGACCCGACGGGGGAGGGCAGTCGCAGCTACGCAGAGTTGGCTAGGGCAGTCCAGGGCGAGGCCCAACGTGCTCCGCCTTCGCCCCGCCCCTACCCTCATTGGTTAAGGCTAGATTGAGAGGCGGCTCCAGGGCAAAAAAAAAAAAAATCAGCAATCCTCCACTCTTATTGGCCAGCTCAGTTCTGAGGCAGCTTCATGGCCCCGCCTACTAGCTCGCACTACACTCCAATTGGATGGTTGTGCTCCCAAACACAAACTCCGCCCCACCTCTACATTGGGCTGCTCCATCCTAAGGGCAGTTCCAGCGCGAATCGCCAACTGACTCTGTGCTTCCATTGGTCTGCCTTGATTTGAAGGGCGGGGCCCGCCTTGCGTTCCCATTGGCTGTCCCTACAACCAGACGTTCTGATCCCGCCCCAGCATCTCCCCGCGCCGCCCATTGGCCGGCTCTGCTGTGAGAGGACGGTGCGGACCGCGCTCAGCGGACCCGCGGCGGTTCGGGTGTCTAAGTGGGCTGAGCAGGCGTTGGCCGCGGACATGACGCCTGAGGACCAGGAGGAGGCCCAGCCGCTGCTGGGGCCGCCCAGCGGCAGGTGAGCGCCAGGGGGCCCGGACGGGACCTGGCCTCGCCCTCCCGCGCCGCCCCTGCCGGCGCCGCTCACCCACCGCCCTGTCCCCGCAGCACTCCTCGCGGCCGCCGCGTCTTCCTCGCCGCCTTCGCCGCTGCCCTGGGCCCGCTCAGCTTCGGCTTCGCGCTCGGCTACAGCTCCCCGGCCATCCCGAGCCTGCAGCGCGCCGCGCCCCCGGCCCCTCGCCTGGACGACAGTGCCGCCTCCTGGTTCGGGGTGAGGCCCGGCTCTCCCCGCCCGGCCCGGGAGCCCCGCGCGCTCCGCTCGGACGGGCGCCGCAGCCCTCTCCCTGCCTCCCCTCGGGACGGGAGCCGAGACCCTCGTCCCGCCCGCCCCGCGCCCCCTGCCCAGGTCGCCGGCCCGGACGCCCTCCCCTTCCCTCTGAGGCCGCGGGCGGCGGGTGGAGGGCGAGGTGGGCTGCCCCCGGAACCCGGCCCAGCCCGCTGTCGCCCCGCCCGCAGGCCATCGTGACCCTGGGCGCCGCGGCAGGGGGCGTGCTGGGCGGCTGGCTCGTGGACTGCGCCGGGCGCAAGCTGAGCCTCCTGCTCTGCACCGTGCCCTTCGTGGCCGGCTTTGCCGTCATCACCGCGGCCCAGGACGTGTGGATGCTGCTCGGGGGCCGCCTCCTCACCGGCCTGGCCTGCGGCGTTGCCTCGCTAGTGGCCCCGGTGAGTGACCCCCCTGCCTCGCGGCCTGAGACCGAGGAGGAGTGGGGCAAACCGCTCCCACACCTGGGGGCCTGGCTCTGCCGCCTGGGGGCGGGCACCATGCCCCCTACCTGCTTTATCTCCCACCCTCACGGACCGCCGTCGTTATCTGCCTTTCGCACATGAAACTTACAGAAACTTCGCCCAGGCAGGGTCCACAACTAGCCAGCGGTGAAGCTGTTGCTGGAACCCAGGATTGCCCCCTTAGCTGTGCCTCTCAAACAAGGTGGCACCTGTGGGTGGCCAAGAGGAGCCTCGCATTATGGCTTTAACCCCCTGTCTCGGATCACTGGCTGCAGTTAGCAGGAAAATCCTGTTCTGATGTGTCCTGGGGCAAAGGCTTCTCCCTCAGCCTCTCCTGACCCAGCCTGCTCGCTTGGGAGCCCCACACACCTGGGCCAAATCCCGGCTCTGCCACTTACCTGAGCAGAGCATCTCACTGGGCCTCTGTTTCCTTCCCTGTGAAGTGGGGATTATGGCATTACCTCAGGAGGTGGTGGCAAGGATTCAGTGAGACTTTGCACGTACAGCCCCTGGGACGGCTCCAGGAAGGACTTGGACCCTGGCAGCTGGGACTGCTGGGTGACTGGTGAACTGCAGCTGACCCTGGTGGCCCCTGAGCCCAGAAGGAGGGAACAGTGGTAGTCACGGGTAGCAGATGAGGTGGTGAGTTCATGCTTCTCACTCCAAGGGCACTGCTCAGAGTGTGGTCCCTAGGCCAGCAGAGTGGGTGTCACGTGGAGCTGGTTAGCAAGGCAGGATCGGGCCCACCCCAGACCTACTGCATCAGAATCTGCATTTTTTCAAGGGTGTTTGTGCACATTAAGTGAAGGCTGGGAAGCTCTGTGCCTTCCTCTTGCCCTCACATACAGACAAAGCAGCCACCCACTACCCTTAATCCCCTTTCAACACTTGCTACAGATCGTTTGGTGAGGGGGGACCTGGGGAGGGCTCTGCTGACCTTAGGCAGTTCAATTAGGGGGACAGAAGGCCTGCAGCAGCCCCGTCAGG